TAAATTATGTGGGGGGGTGTCTTTGGGGGCTGGAATTTCAGAGTCAGTTAGGTGGCTAAACATAACAAACAATCCCAGGTCCAATGTCAACCACCTCTAGATGAGTCTGAAAAGATTGCAATCTGAAATTCAGACAAAAGGCAACAGTTTTGGAACTGGTAAAACTGTTCCAAACAGTTAATACACAAGGTAACATTTTTGGAACTGTTAAAACTGCATGGAAGTTGGAATATAAATTATAGACATGAAAGAGATGCTAATGAAAACATACTGATTGACAAAATGGCTGCCATATTGAGTGTACTCCATCACAACTTATCAAATTATTAGCAATCATGTTAAAACAATCTCAATTCTCCTCAGGTATCCTCTAAGAATTCTAATAATACAAATTTTATTCTGAGCAGGAATGTTGCATTTCGAAACAAACTATAACCACCCATCATTTGGTGGACTGGTGCAATAAAAATAACCTGGTTTTGAATGTAACAAAACAAAGGAGATCATTGTTGATTTCAGAAAGAGCCAGCAGAGTCGTACTCCATTTTGAATGAAGGCTGCAGCTGTGGAGGTGGTCAATAGTTTTAAGTATTTGGGGGTACAGATAACTAACAATCTGACTTGGTCTCTTCATATGTTATCTTTAGTGAAACATGCAAACCAGTATTTGCATTTCCTATGTCAGATGAGGAGAGCACCAGTGGTGGGTTGCCCCCAGTTCGCATTGGTTCTATAGAAGCAGTAGTAAAGCCGGCAGGAGGCTCTGCCCACTGACCCCGACATCATCAAAGCACTGCGCTTGCACAGAAGAGCGCACATGTGTACAAGCAAAGCAAGCATGTGTGCGTGACCCCGCTGCAAACCGGTAGTAAAGGTAAGTAGAACCTACCCCTGGAGAGCACATGTTTCTCCTTCTGTCTGGCCACTTTTTACAGAGACACAATTGAGAGTGTTTTAATAAACTGCATCACTGTTTGATTTGGTGGTAGCAGTGCCTCAGATAGAAGGTCCATACAGAGAGTGGTAAGGACATCAGAGAAGATTATAGGAAGCTGTTATTCAGGATACTGCTTATAAGTGCTATGTCCTTAGAGCTTGAAGTATTGTTACAGACCCTCACACACTCACTTCACAGTCTTTCTATTGCTACCCTCTGGGAAGAGGTTATGAAATATCTATACCAGGACTACTAGATTCTGTAACTGCTTTGTTCCTTATACTATTTGTCTTGTAAAATCGCAGGATTCTTTCCACCGCACCCCCATGTATATGTATATATCCGAACTAGACTGTGATGTTTCTCTGTGTCATATACATATATGTGTGTATGTATGCATAATGGTTATCTTTTGAGAGCTGAATGCAACAAAATTTCATTTTAATGTATGCTGATTAGTGTACACTTAAAGTAACAATAGAGATTCTGTTCTGTTCTGTTCTGTTCTGTTCTGTTCTGTTCTGTTCTGTTCTGTTCTGTTCTGTTCTCTTCTCTTCTCTTCTCTTCTCTTCTCTTCTCTTCTCTTCTATCCTGATTTTTTTTTTTAATTTTCTAAGTATGCCTATAAAGTTTATGTCAGATATGGTGGCATTCTTGTAATTAAGATAATAATACGTTGCTTAAAGGCTGGTTCCCTGCTTAGAAAAAAAAAAACTAAATCAGATAAGAAAGGAGTTCATAATCTCTATTCCATGTTAACCCATTGGCAGAAATTTTTGGCCTCTGCTTGCTCATTAGCACTCCTCTCCTTCCATCCTGGCTCCCAATTCATTTTGTCACTGTAGCATTCTTTTCCACAGGTGAAGTCAGAGGGAGTAACAATGATGACAGGGCAGCTTTAGAGTGTTTCTTGAGATTGAAAAGTGGAAAAGATCGTAAAAATACTCTGGTTAACAGGTTCAGCATCCCACTGCATTCCATTTCTTCTATGTGAATGTATTTACATTTAAATTTAAATATGTACCTTTTAATCCCAAATTACTTGTTTGGGGAGTTGTATGCCATTCAGAATCAGTTGACAAGAGCAGCATAAACCTTATAATCAAACTGAATCCTTGCATAGTTATTTAATTGTTTCCAGTCTCCCTCCCTCTTTTTTTTGTTCCTTTAAGGCTTAATATTTTATTTCCCATGAAAAAATTCTGATGATGTATTGAGTTCTGTGTAGTTTTCCCTTTTCAGCGGTCCCAGGAAAAATGATTTCATCATTCCTGGAATAAGCTATGCTTCAATGTTCTTGCTGCTGAGATATTTGAAGAACCAAGCTCTTAATTGAGTTTTTGATACAAGAAAGAAGCCACTTGTCAAAGTATGCAGGAACTGAAAAAGGCAGCAAAGGCCAAACTGTAACAGCAAATATGCACTCAAAAGTAATAAATAAAATGTGGCTTATCTTTCAAGCATCTACTTATACAAGGACAGATGCAATACTAAAATGTTTTTGCTCTCTTGTCAAGAAAGTTGCATTTAGTAATGTCTGAAAAAGAAATAAATGGAAATAAAGTTTCTGGAACTGATATACATTATACATCATAAAATAGAAAAAAGTCTTGCTTGTACATTATAAAAAGCAGATTTTTTTTTTCTTATGACATTCCTGCTGCAATGATATTATCCACTGTTTCTCAAACTTAAACATTTTAAGTCATGCAGACTTCAAGTCCCAGTATTTTCCATACAGTGTGCTGGCCAGGGAATTCTGGCAGTTGAGGTCCTTATGTCTTAAATTTGCCAAGTTTGAAAAACACTGGAATATTTTAAAGTTTGATTTGATTTTAAATTTGATTTTAAAGTCACAGGCTTATGATTTTGTACACTTCATGGCAACCATAATTTAAATAACTATAATTTTCACAAATTTATTTTTTGCAAGGATGGCTTTAATTATTTTTTTTAAGTAATATAAAGAGAGTAGAAGGTGGTTTTCCCTCAAGGTTTTGTGAAAGAAACATAATTGAACTGTAACCATAATGAGGTAATTTGGAAAGCAGGGTGTATATTGCACCAGTCACATAAATTAGTTTCTTAACTAGTATCTGATTGGAAATGTAAAACAAAAATATTCACATTTGTACAACTTCTTATTTTGGTTTTACTTGCTAGTGTAAAGTTCCCATTGTATGTACAGACTATTCTGAACCTAAATACCAAAATATAAAAGTGTATATGTTTTGAATCTTAGATGAGAGTTTAATTTTAGATAATGTCTTAGCCAAGACATCTGAAATGCACTTCATCAATCTGGATTAAATCATACCTATATTTATCCCAGGATTTTGTGCTGGGAACCCACTGAACAAAGTTCAGCTGAATTAACCTGATAGCTAATGTATTTTATTTATTAAACTGAACTTGGTTTTAGAGTTCTGAATATTTTAAATGGTAATGCAGTAAAAATATTTTTGTTCATTGTAAAGAAACAAAGTGTGAATTTGTTATGCAGCCCATGGTCCTGAATCCAGTGAAGGCCATTTATTTGTGCTTATCTGCTTTGTAGATTTGGTCTCTTGACTACCTGATGTCTTTCCACATTGTCTAAAGTTTAAACATTTTTAGCTGGCAACTATAAAAAAAAATCTGATTCAACAAGGTCAGCATAACTGATCTGTTAGATTTGGGAGGCCTTACAGACTGACTTTACCGAAAGAGGATGTGTCACTTTTTGTCAATGTAATATGAACTTCATTTGCTTAAAAACTTTCATTTGTATAGTATGTCTCACTTGAAATTGCTTTGTATACATTTTGTAAAAATATTTATAAAATGTTTTGTAAAAAATATAACAAATTGCAGTTTATTTTGTTATGTTGGATAAATACTGTTAAAATACACATATTGGTAAAAATACATTGTTAACCCATGAATAGGAAATGTTTAGCTGGATACTACAAATTGAAACAACCATTGCAATACAGCCAAAGATTTGGGGGGGGAAAAAGAAAGAAAAACACAGGAATAACCTTCTACTGGAATTTTACAGTGGTAATTGCTCTGAAGTCTGCACTTGCCAAGAGAAGAGCAGGAAACCTTTAATCAGCCAAGAGGTCACCATTATAGCCCACTTTTCTGTTAATAGACCTATAGTCTGGGCATAATCTACACCTTCAAGTAATGAGATGGAGCCAAACACCAGTGTGCAAGGCTGTTCTTTGCTCTTCTTTAACACACAATCCTGATGCTCCACTCTTTTTCTTTTATCTTTTCTGGTCAAACAAAAACATGGTTTTGAGGGGACTATAAAAAGTCTGCTTGCAGAAGTTTTCAAAATTAGACCCAATGTGGCAAGCAATTATGTTGAGGATCCTAGATAGCTATCTTACTGTAACAGTAGGCGGTAATGACTTTGAGAGACAAGGCAAAGAAGCACAGCTAAGCTGCCCACTAGGTAAAAATAAGTTAGCCCACAAAAGCAACATAAGTATGGCAAGAGGCCCCTAAGAGGCCTTCCCTAGTTTCTTGAGCTGTAATGGGGACAGGAAAACTTGCAGGATTGATGTAAATCTTGCGAGGTAGACCATACAGGAAACACAACGAGATGAGCCACTTCTACTTTATTATAATGCTACATTAACATAATCATAGACCTCTGAAAATATATTTATAAATCATAAGATGAAGACATGATCCTGTATCTTAGAATAGCTTTTTTCTCCATAAAGACACAAATACTGAAGACTAGATCTTCAGATTACTAGTTCATAGTCATTATAGCCTCAATGAAAATTGGAAGCTGATAATTTTTCAATTTTTTTTAAAAAAATTAAAACAGTGAGACCTTATGAAATACAAAAGAAACTAAGTTGCTTATAAGGATGCTTTCCTTTTAATAATAACTTTATTGACTTGTGCTATTTATGTTTAATGGCTGTCACTCAGCTGATTATCTCCTTGACAGAGAGGTATTTATCTAGGAGGGATGGGTTTATACTTTTCTTTCACATAAGCAGATATTTATGATAACAAGCTATCCTAACTGAAATTGTAAACAACCAATTTTGCCTACCTTTCAGTTCAGATCAGTTCAATAGAACCACATTTCTCCAAAAACATATATTCTTTTATTGAAAGACGGCGGTGGGAATCAACCTTAAAGACATACAAAATCCAAGATTTTTTATTCAGTGAGAAACTATTAATTTAATCAACTTTTCCTGTAATACTATTGCAGCAGACTGTCTCCCTGTTTTTACATTATAGGTAGGCTTCCGATCCTATAGACTTAATAAGATATGTAATTTTTGTGGATTTATTGGTTGCAAAGAAGAATAAGAATTTGAGGTTGACAGACTGTAGCACTTTTTTCACTTCAGCCTTTCTAAAAAAGATGAAATCTTTAGTCACCTGTTGATTTTTGCTGCAACATATTCATTTTCCTGTACTTGAAATTGTATGAAAGAAATCTTATATTTACCAGTAGACTGAGGGATTATATATAACATTATACAGAATTATCATTGTTGTTTTCACTTTTCCATTATGATGTAGGAGTACAACATGGTGGCAAAATTATAAAGGTGGGATATTTAGTTATGGGCATCTGCAATGGATGCAAAAGATGGTTGTGCAAGTAATGTGAAGTGTGTACTATATCTAATTCACATCCTAAGCAAGTAATAGAAATGACATACTTTGCATCAATAAGGTCATGTAATGCATGATGTCTTTATGACTTCTATCATGTAGGATGGCAATATAGTCACTGGCCCATCAAAGAACTAAAGAAATATATGAATCTCTTGTTACATGACTTTTCTCAAATTTCTTCTTTATTTGACATTAAGACTTTTTCTAGAGCATGTTGGTAGTTGTATGTACCTGAACCATAGCAATGCAGACTTCTTACCTAGAGAGCCTGAAAATTAAGTTCTCCTGATTTATTCTCCAACAAAAACAAACGATAAACCATGATTTTAAAGTCTGGCTTTTAATGCTTTTTTATTTTAAAAAGAAAGTAATATGTAGTATCTATAATATCATTTGAACAGGACTATCAAATGTGGGTTGCAAAAATCTGATGTATTAAGGCAGAGTTTTCTGTGTCTTTTTGCTGTTACCTAGTGATCATCCAGAGTTTTATTTTTTCTTGTTTCAGTTATAGATTTTATGGGTGACGTTAACTTTTTCAAGCTGCTCTGAAGCTTAATTGGATCTGATGGTTGATTCCACCCATATATCCATGCATGCATACATGCATAAATTGCTGTATATACAATTCTCTTTGAATCAGTAGATGGTGTAAAGTTGCATTTGATGAGCTAATCAAAAGCTTCATTAAGGCTGCCAATGAATAATCAATTTAGTATTTCCTACAAATGTAGGAAATATAGGAAAGGGTCCTGCAAGAATAGGTTGCTGTACAATACTGATCCAAATTGGCCATTATGCTAGAGAAAAACCGAAACCCACCAAACATAAGCAGGTAAAAGTATACTTAAGGGGACTAGACTGGTCATAAGATACAAATTCTTTCTCAAAAATAACTGGCTATAAATCAAAGCTTCATAAAAAATTAAGGAAATTTCATTTGACCAACCCACTTTAAGATTTAATAGGAACCATTAAATGGAAACAGTATAGCCAGATAATGAAAGAAATACTGAAGTTATCATGTTCTGTTGTGTCCTCCCAGGGTCCTTTTGTCCTTTGATTGCACTGGTAGATAATATTATTTCGTTCCCAAGGAAATATGTCCCTTTGATTAGGTTGTAGATATTCTCTCATTTGTCACTGTTCTATCAAGCTCTGCCATATAACAGCAGGAACTCTTGATTATTTAATTGCTTGTAAGAACTCATTAAATCTTACTATCAATCATGGGACATATGGTAAATATCACCCAATGGTGCAAGAGATTGTTACAGAGATCTGTCACTTGGGCATTCTCTGTGTTTTCTCTCATAAGCTTTCTGTTTAGTTGTTCAACCATTCAAAATCAGTGTTAATAAAGATTTACAGAAAATAATTCATATAGTACTGTACATATATGGCTAGAAGAGATAGGAAGAACATGGATGAATTAATTTTAAATTAACAGTAGCAATAACAACAATAATCTGTGTCATGCTTTTCTAGATAGCTGACCTACTATAGTGACTACAAAATGAACTATGATTCACAAATTAGTTCACACTGATGAACTAATTCCCACTGACAAACAAAGATAATAAGTTTTTAGAGTATGTGGTCACTAGGAGTTGATAACAGCTTGATGGCACATAATTTATCCATCAGTTAACCAATCAAATGAATATATTGTATATTCTGTACAACACGAGTCACTGCTATATTAATTTGCTCCCCCCCCTCTCCTTAATAGCTGGATTTGGGCTCATAAACTTATCTTCAGAGAAAATAAGCATGTTGGTTTGCATACAGGAGCAGCACTAAAGAAAAATGAAACTACCGTAAGCAGGTTGCCATGAAAAATAAGTTATTTTCTTCTCTTCCCAGCCTCTAGTTCCCCTGGCTCTGGTTTCAGTTTTCAAAATTAAAGATATGGTATCTGAACATGTCCTCTTGAAGCTAACATAAATCCAACTAACAAAAAAGGAAACGAAATGAGGAAATACAGAGAAATAATGGTTTGATGGTGAAGAAAGTGGAGGAGAAAGAAACACTCTACACTAAACTTTCCCTTGGTATCTGTAAATATTGAATTAAAGTTCCTTTGGTTCCCGATCTAACTCCTTTCTGGGTTCAAAAGTTCTATTGTTAAATATAACTGAAGAATAACACAGATAAGAAGGCTGCAGTCAAGTAATAAATGGTTAGCATTGTGAAATAAATATGATTTAGAGAAGGTAGGCATCACAAAAACAGAAGAAAGGCTGACAGATGTGCAGCATCGCTGGATACAATGGACATAGTCCCTTGAAAAATTGGAGGCCATAGGAAATTTACAAAGTATACAAAGTGGCATCCATGAATGTTCACAGTGATTTCCCCCACCCCATCCCCATCATACTACTTCAATGTTACTCTTCTCCACATTTAGAAAAATTCCTCATTATAAGGAATTCATTCAGCATCTAGTTATGTGATCAAGAGGTGTGGATCCATGTAGCAAATTTGAGGATTTTCAGTTCAAATACACTGGAAGGGTAGCAGACTGAGGAAAGATGATAATTTATGTAATCAGTTCACTGATAGAATAATGTCTGCAGCCTTACAACCTTCTGTCATCCACAGAGATATTAAACTAATCATTGGACATTAGGACTTGGCTTCAGGAAGGTTTCCTGCTCTGGTTTTCTCAATAGCAGCAAATGTAGAGAAATAATTTGTTATTGAAGAATATTAATATGTTGAGCAACTATTGGCTGTTTTGTATCTTTTATGGTTTTATGCTTATTTCCCAATTACTAGAAATGGGTAACTACAAATATCAGCCCCCCAATCCTTTCCCTCTTTACAGCATGTGGCTCTGAGAGTGTCTAAAAATTGAAAAGTTGTGGCAATGTGATTTATAGCTTTCAGTCAAAATAAAGAGAAATAGTATATACGCCTTTCACCTAACATTACAAGAACCTCCCAAATTATCCCAGCCATATATTCAAACCATGGAATACTCTAGCCCCCTCCTAAATTAATCATGTCATAGCTCTGCCTAGATAACAATTGGCTGCAGAAAATCAAATAATCAATTAATATGTGCATATACACATTAAAAAGCTTGTGTGTTCCTAGTTAACAAAAAAAAAAAAGTCTGAACTTGCTATAAATTACAGGTAAAGAACTTGTAACTTTGTAGATATTACTAAATTCTCTGCAGACCCAGCCAACATTACCAGTCAAAGTTATGGCAAATGATTTTTGGAACAGCTATGGCATTTGACAGCACCAAGTTGAGAACTGATATTGAAAAGCAGAGTCAAATTTAGTTCACATTTGAATAGGAGATCACCCAAAGATATAGACTAGGGTGGAAAATAAAACATTATGATGGGAAGAAGATAATTTCCTTACTGTTGCCAATAATGGTCATCATGTAATAATGGAAACTGAAGGATTTGAAATAATTTATATTTCAAAAGGTTATTTTTTACTGTATAGATAGCCCTTGATTTATGATCAGTTGTTTAGCAGTTACTTGAAATTACAATGGTGTTGAAAAATTGCCCTTGCACTTACAACTGTCATAGTGATGCCCCAATCACATGATCACCATCTGAGTGTTTGGCACGTGGATCACATTTATGACAGTTGCACCATCCTAGTCTCATACAATCAATCACCTATTTGTGACCTTCTCAGCTGGCTTCTAACAAACAAATGAAAGAACAACCAGAAGGGAAGATGACATAATGATGTACCATTTAACAATTTTTCGGTTCCATCTTTGATTGTAAATTTAGAGGCCCACAATAGCCTTGATCAACATGGTTTAGGAAAATGCTGGAAGGGGCAATTCAATATCTGGGAGCTGTGGTGGCGCAATGGTTAGAATGCAGTACTGCAGGTTACTTTTGCTGACTGCCAGCCTGCAATTTGGTAGTTTGAATCTCACCAGGCTCAAGGTTGACTCAGCCTTCCAGTCTTCCGAGGTGGGTAAGATTGTTGGGGGCAATATGCTGACTCTGTAAAACACTAGAGAGGGATGTACAGCACTGTGAAGCGGGAAATAAGTCTAAGTGCTATTGCTAGTGCTATCTGATCCTCTTCCTCCTAGAAGCAAATACCCTCTTCTGTCACTGGGATTCTGGGAAATGACATTAGTCATTTATTTCCTAGTTAAATTTTTGAATTTCTTCATCTCAAAAGGATTTAAGCAATGTAATTTCAATATTTGCAGGCATTGCTTTCAGTAGTGCATTTTATTCAGTTGAATATTTCTGTTTTCAAAATCCTCTACTTTTCAATTACCATCCTAAAATTATTGATAAAACTACTGAAAGTCCATTTGTTGGAAGGACTACCATAATCTCAAAAAGTATACTCCTAAATGAAGTTAAAATGTTAGTCTACAAACCCAACCCCCCAAAAAGAGGATGCCTGAGGCTCATCTGATACAATTTCATCCAATATAATATAATACTATTACATTAACCTTGAA